AGAGGTCCTAAAAGTCAGAAGGCAGAGACTGCTGGGTGTACAGACGCTGATATCATAGCTCTTTGTGTCTTTTTTGCATTCCTGCTACAGGAAATATGAGAAGAGGCACACAAAAAATAAATAAATTTGCGCAAAAGCAGATAGATGCAAACAACAAAAGGAAAAAGAAAGTTTAAAATACTTAAAATATCTTTTGGTAAATTATTTCTTATACAGGTTAGTTACTCTAAAATTACAGTTAAAATCTGAAGTTAGGGCTTTTATTATTATTATCATTATTATTGTTGAGAATGGTCTTTCAGTGATAGATACCAGTTTATTAGGTACACCTGTTTAACAGCATTTTAAGAATAACCAATTTGAAAAAAACCAACAACAACAACAACAAAAAAACCAATTATGTGTCAAACGTGTCTCAATTGGAGCTTCAGGATTTAAATGTTTGTGTTGTAAATAAACTCAGGAATAGTTTAAGAAGGAAAAGTGGAAGCATTACTTGAGTTTTTCAAGGGACCAGTAGTGCGTGGCTCCATTCTTCAGGTCTTGAACCTCTACAGCGACCACGGTGCGAGGGAAAGGTCTCGGGTCACGATCTTTCTCTGGCTCTGGGGGAAGGAGCTCAGGGGGCAGTGGCGAGTATGGAGTGTCTGTCAGCAAGACAAACTGGAACTGGACCTGATGAATGATGGGAAAGGACGAATACAAGGGACTGTTTATATCTTCAGGTAAGTAAATGTTCGAAGGTTGGTTGATATCGTGAAGCTGAAAGATCAGATGAACACCCCTCCCACTCCCTTCCTCTTCATGCCCTTTTGATCTCGGCATCTTCTGGACACAAAACACTAAAGCAATTAATAACATTCGATATAAATCACACACAGATAGAAACCCAAGATAAAATCCTGTCAGCTTATGATGAAAATGGCCTGGAAATGTGACAGATGACTCATTACTGGTATTAATCACAGAGGGCATAGAAGTGGACACGCATTTAAATCACACTTTTATCCCGGATAAGGGAGGTAAACCAGGCATCAGTTTTATTTAAAGGAGTTTTGACAGGAACATAAAAAAAATTAATATCTGTGTGACCTTGAAATAATAATAATAATAATAATAAAATTGTATTTATATAGCACCTCTCTAGACAGAATCACAAAGTGCTGCACATAAGATAACAAATAAGATAACAAATAATAAAAGGGTAAAACAGACAATATAAACACAAATTTAACCAAAAACAGTTTTAAAAAGGTGAGTTTTGAGTTGTTTTTTTAAAAACAACTACCGAGTCCACAGTTCTTAATGTATGAGGGAGAGAGTTCCACAGTCTCAGGGCCACAGTGGCAAAAGCTCTGTCACCCTTAGTTCTCATCTTAGTTTGTTTTATAGCAAGTAAGCCCTGATAAGATGACCTCAGGGACCTGCTAGGGACATAGGGCTGTGGCAGATCGGAGATGTAGATCGGTGACAGTCCATCCAAGGCTCTAAATGTCAAGACCAGGATCTTAAAATGTACTCTAAATTCAACAGGAAGCCAGTGTAGCTGAAATAGCAATGTTGTCACATGTGAATACTTGGAGGATTTTATCAACAGCCTAGTTGCAGCGTTTTGCACAACCTGCAGACGATCCAGAGAACCTTTGCTTAGACACATATACATGCATAGTAATGGAATGGCATTGATATACAGCTTTGTTATCTTAGTAACCATTTAAAGTGCTTTAAAGTAAAAGCCACATCTCTAACCTTGAGGCCGATGTCACTGAGATTCAAACTCGGCCGAGACTTTTAGCAGATACACCAATGTTATCAATTTGAAACTGCTACTCTGCATCGTTCTCGAGCGGTCCCATGCACAAACTTGGGTGTCCAGGTAAGATCAAAAACAGGAACCTTCTTACAGTGAGGCGACACCTTCTTTAACAAGGAGGGTGCCGCCATTTTTTTATTTTTTGCTGGTTCTTTAAAATGTATCAATCACATCCAAAGAACACCAGAATGGTCTACTGCTGGCTGCAAGGACTTCCAGTATCTATAAAAACTGAAGGCCTGCATCACTTTTAATTTTGTGTTAGCATGCTGCACGCTAATGTAGCCACAATTAGCACTAGCCAAACACAACAGACCTGTGTGGGAAATGCAATGCTAAGCCAACAAACATAAAATAGACAAATAGAATAGCCTTTTATTGTTACTGAACATGTACAACGAAACTGTAGAGGGAAGGGGATGCATAACAAAAGTCTATGGTCACAATACAAGTAATTTCTGAAATGTCAACACCGCTGCATGAAAACATTTTGTACTGAACGAGTCTATCCTCTTTGTGGGCTTTATTGCCAGCCGACAGCTCTCAGATGGCTGTTCCCATCTTGATGAAGCTGTATTATATAAACAGGGCTTCTTGAGAGGAGGGCTTTAAATAAATAAGGAGCTAAAATGGAACTTTTCTTTTTACAGAGCTGAAAAAGAGGCGGGGAAACAGTGTATAGTGTAAGGATGATAATATTTTATTTTAACACTAAGTTATCTAAGCACACTCTGCAAACCCCTAAAATAATGCTAGGAACCTGTAAGTCATTATTATATGGAAAATATTTTATGCAGCAACCTTTAAGTCTAAGATCCTCTGACCCAATAACATCATCAGGCGCTTCCCTTGTGACACTCTCCCAGGCCTGAGGGTGTGTCATGTGGGTTTGTGTTTAGGTGTCAGTGAAATACGTAGAAAATGACAGATTATTGCTATGAGGGTGATTCACTTCAAGGTAAATAAAGAGAAATAGCAATTCACTTACTTTCTTCTTCAGTTCCACACTGATGGCGTTAGCCTCTTTTAGGTAGACGGCATTTCCCCACAGCTGATCTCGAAGGGAGGTGAACTGATGGTACCTCCACTTCCTGAAGGCCCACTGAGCCAGCTCAAACTCATGCTGAGTCCACGGCACTGTGCGGATACAAAAGACAGAGGGGGCGTTATCAAGAGATAAATACAGCAGTTATTAAACCTTACAAATCAAATAATCATAAAACCCAAAAGGACCATAGCTTTGATTTAGCCCAGCCACAGGTCTATACTACTTAGCATTAATGCTTGAAATTCAAGAGGATCTCTCAGTTATAGCATTTTGTCAACTTCACTTTAAAGGTAACATTACTTGTAGGCACTGACTGCAGTTTCAACAGTTTCCTTTTGAGGCTCTCAAACAGAATTAATGAAAAAGTTCCAGAAAAGCATGAAACTTACAAACGTATGCGTCAAGAACCAAAACTAAGAGGTTTCTTGTATGAAACTACAACCTGAGCATAAAGGTTTGGTTTTGTCACAATAAATAGAACCCCTTTAAACATGACAGAGCCTGTATTCACATTAGGTTTCATAATGTGCCACCAAGATGGATGAGATTAAGACTAAATTAATTAATGACCCATCGCTGGTTATTACCAGTCTTTCATCCAGACTTAAAATGATGGAAACCAGCACAGAGGCATGCTCTGAAACCTGAAACAGTGATTTAATGACAATCTGTCATCACTGGGCTGAATAAGTATGGTCCTTTAGACTTCATAATGATGAGCATTTCTGACCTGGTCTCCCTTGAAAAAGAAAAAAAAAATCTCAATGGATTTTTTGGTTAAACAGAGGTTTAGTAAAAGTAATATATAAATTTATGTAAAACGACATATACCATTAGTAGTATGTTTTATTGTGCATGGACTAGAGGATGTACTAGTTTTGAGCTAGTTTTCTGTTAATACCTTCAATGGGTAATTAATGTGGCACTATTAAAATACTTGAATCTGAATGAAAGTGATATTATGGATATGTAAATACTATACGCACATCCAAGGAGTTTAGGCTCTGGACACAAAGTGTGGAAGAAAACAGACACAGTTCATTTATACATTTATATAAAAATAAACACAGACGCACTCACCCACACATATATATCTATATATTATATTTTAGCATTACATGTAGTGTGTACAGGAAAAACAATCATCTTCAGGTCTGAAAATGCATACTACACACCTTCCTCTTCCTCCTCCTCCTCCAACTCTTCTTCATCGGGTGTCTCAGCTACCAGTGAGCGAGTCTCCACCTGTTTCTGAAGCTCCTGCAATTTGCTCTCGTAAACCTGGACACCAACACAGGGAAGAGGAGAGAGAACGTGGAAAACTGTCCATCAGCCGCAACAACAGGTGACGCCAACCCAACGAGGGTTTTATTTGTGAAAAACGAGCACTGAAGACTGATTATGAAGCCAAATGATGCGCGCTTCTGGATGTGTAATTGCATTAAACTGGTTTATAGTTATTAGATTGTGAGCCCTACCCTTATATTGTGAATTTCTAGATAAATATGTTGCACATAAGCAATTCACGCATCATTACAAAGGAAAAAAGATATATTTTTACTGTCCATGAAACTAAGATATTATTAAATCCAGGACTAAAGAGGTTCAATAAAGTTCTAATTATGTGGATCGCTCAGCTCTTCACCAGTACAACAAAGGAGAAACCATCTCCTTTGTAAGTATGTAAGAGCATAAACTGGAATACTTTCTATACTGATCAATGAGGAAAAAAAGCATCTGAGAGCAGTGGTATGAGTGGAAGCAGAGAGGTGCTGGTAGAAGCTGAGTCAACTGTAATCCAATGAGGGGCGCCATCATCATCATCAGGACAGGCTGTGTTCCCAATGACCTCATCCTGTTTGTTCACAGTCTTCTGAGAAGACAATGCAGCCTTTTCATTTGTCTGCTGAACTCCTACCAGCAAGCTGACGTCTCCTCGTTTAAGGAGCCCGTGGAAATCCAGCATGAAAGTTTCATCGATCAACTCGAAGCTACAGAGTTTATTAGAAGGACACTTTAAGCACCTTTAACCTGACTGTTGCAAATTATTAACCCTGCACGCTGCCTACATGCAGATTCTACTCCTATTTAGGTTTAGTGGTAGTGGAAAACAAATAACAGCAATATGTAACAAACAACTGCACATGGATCATGTCATTTTATTTCATTTCATTCATACCTTGACAATAAAACACATAGTTGTGGTATATCCTTTATGAAAACCAGTGAACAATACTGTTCAATGTTAATGTGCTCTATCAAGGAGCAACACAACTCGGTACACAGCCACAATGAGGCACTTTATGTGGTTGTAGGTTCAAAAAACACAAGATGTACGACACTCAGACACAGAGACCTAGCATACTTATAAATGCTGATTTCAGAGCCGTACACACGGTGGTTCATTTGATGCTGTACACTGTCCAGCTTACTCGGTCACCATCTGCACCAGAGCTTATGTTAAACAACTTTCTTTTAATAGATTCATCAGGGCTGAGGAAATGTAAGCTACTCCATGCAAAGATAGTCAAACATATGAGGGGAAGGCTGGCTGAATATGTCATGTCATTTGGTTTTTTTGTTACAGCATAGTAAGGCAGAATTTATACCGTCAAAACTTAAGAGCATTAAAAAGAAAATAAATTCAAATCCCAGGTTTAACAATATGATAGTCCTCAAAGGTCTCGCCCATCCTGCTGTGAGTGTTGCTGTTTGTCTGAAATAATTTGAAGGCCATCTGATATCTAATGTTAATAATTAATGGGGGTTCTTTTAAAGCTAAAAATGCAGCAGACAACAGGCCGATTAAAAAGGTAGGCAAATACGCACACGCTAAAGCACAGAGGCAAAAACACTGATACAGACTACTGAAGTTATTAACATGGGCAACAGATTTCACAGACCATCACACCCATATCTGTCTTGGTTGTGTGAATATGCAGCTAAAAACAAGGCAGCCCTTAAAAAAAAACCAAAAATCTCATTTGATATGGACATTTCTCCTGAATACCATTATGCAAACATTTCAAGTCTTTGTCCTGCTTCCAACATTTTTAGGGCGAGTCTTTGGGAACCTTGACAACACTCTGTAGGGCATCCATCTGAAACACAGTGAACTCTGTGCTTACTCAATGAGCCACAAACCTAAAATGTAATTTTAACCAGACTGAGTGCTTCATACAGGAAGAAAAGGGGGAAACTATTCAGTGAAACTTTGAAATGGATACAATTTGCATTCACGTACAATCGAGGGTGCTCTCTGTGCTTTTCAGCGTAGTGGTTCTTGTCTTTAGTGAACTCCAAAACTCATGGACATGTTTTAAAACCTTTTTTGGACTTGGTCTGCTTTTTTAAAAGAACTTAGTATCTTTAAAAATTAGTGCAGTCAATAACAAATTATGCAGCTTATCCGTGAAGTGAGGAAGTGCAAAACACTGTCATGTAAGTAGTTGGTAGCTACATATTTGAAGTTTTTTTTTGTTTTTGGTTAAACTGTAAAGTAAAAAGAAAGACAGGAAAAAGTTTGTAATCAAGCAAATAAGATGATTACTAAAAAAAATGTATAAGTCAGTATGTTATTGATAAAAAGTTAGTTTTGGTTAGTTAAGGTATGAAGCTTCCTTTACAAAATTAATCTGCAAACCTGTCCGTAGGCACTGAATTAAAAGGAAGGCAAAGAAAATACTGAATTGCAAAGGCAGAGCAGGATTAATAGAGTTAGAGCATCTAAAAAGGCACTTTAAAAAAAAAACCCACTTTCTTTATATGTCAGTCTGTTTAAAAGGCACACGATTGACTGGTGCTTCAAGTTATTCCTCAAGTGGTCTTTTGATTCCAGATCTAGGCCAATGATGCGTTGTAACAAAATGCTTTGAGGTAAACATGATCGTGCTAAAGACAACTGATTCTCCCATCCTACTGTGCAGCTTAACAGTACGTAGATAAAACACTGGGTGTGTTCTGTTCCTAAAGTGGGCACCAACAAAAATGCGTATTGGACACGTCAGTATGTTCATGTCACAGTGGCCATTTAAAAAACAACAACAAAAAAAAACACAACACTCTACTTTCATCAATACTAAAATGGCAATAATGTAAACTCAGAAATTCGACCGTGAAAGTAATTTGGCAAATTCAAAGTGTGATTCATCAACTTGTCACACATGCTGATAAATGAAGAGTAGGCGTGACATGTTAAAAAAAAAAATTATCTGTTGGCTTTGAATCCTTTGAATCCCAGTGACAGTGATGACAATGCACACGATGCACAAAACAAATGATAAAAATGTCATATGATGATACTGATGGTGATAAAATGTCTCTTTTTTTATATATATTTATATATAATACATACAATACTTGGATCAACCAGTAACACCGATCTAGTGCAATAGTCACAGTCACTTTTTGTCAGAGCTGTTGTGATCTGTAATGTGTTTGCCTACTAAAAGTCTGTCAATCTAGTTCCTCACTCCTCAAGTCCCACTCAGACCGTCGTCTCTCTGCTGGCTTTTAGGTTAGGAGCAGACATTTGCCTGCGCATTCGTGGAGGTGGCTGAAAGTTGACTGGATGGTTAGGATGGTCAGTGTGATGGTAATGCTGGTAACCATTGAAGCCGCCATCGGCATACATCGCGCCGTTATAGTGGCATGGCTGTTGGTGGTGGTGAGGCTGGGGATGTGCTGGCTGGTTCTGATAGTGGCGGGGCTGGTAGAAAGCCTGCGTATACCTCCTGTTGCTTTCAGACTGCTGCAGTGACTCCATGGAGCCCGAGGGACGCTGACGGTGATTAAAGGAGTTGCTGCGGCCTCGTTCGTGCAGCTGCTGATGTTGGTTGTTCCTATAGTTATGCCTGTGACCCTGGTTTAAACCTTGGTCTGAGTCCTTGCTTCTGCGCTGAACTGATGGGCTTTGCAGCGCTGGAGAGACTTGGATAACTGAAGCAGCCATCTTATCCATCTTATCGCTACACTGTACATCTTCTCCAGCTAGGCTTTCTGCCTCCTCTTCCTGTACAGCTTCTTTGGGCACCTTTAACTCTATAACCTGCTCATCTGTAATTATGATATGAGTACCCGGGCTCCACGAGTTACGGTGCTTTGGATTACTTTTGAAGGGGAAGCGTAATTTACGGTCTTCTGGTGGTATAAAGCGATGAGGCCCGGGATGCCGGCGGAGCTGCTTGGAGATCTCTTGTTGCTGTAGATTCTTGAGGCGCAGCTGCTCTTGACGCATCCAGCGCATGTGGCCTCGCTTTAGCGTTGAATCATCTGCCATACTTTGGCCTGTTAGTGAATCTGCATCTTCTTCGTCAGGCTTTTCAGGCACAGGTAGTTTTCCTTCCTGAGGGCTTGGAGTTCTTGCTTCACAAGTAGAGGGACCTACACTGGGAGGCTTTTCTTGGCCCTCTGGGGTTATGAGCGGTAGGACCTTTTCCATTTTAACCATCTTATTCCTGAGGGCGCGGATTTCCTCATCCTTCATGTTATTCTGTTTCTTCACCTCCTGCAGGATGTCCTCGAGTTTATCAATGTGCACTTTTAGTTCGTCCATAACAACTCCTCCGGGTCGAGACCCATTGGTCATGACATCCTCAATGCGCTCGTCACCAACCCCTACAGTGTCCCAAACATCCCGAGCCACCGCCCTCCACGAGTCCCGCTCGTTGGGGTCCTTCTTGCCATAGCTAGCGCAAAGCTCCTTCATCTTTACAATAGCCAAAGCCTCGATTTCCTGCCGTGTGTGACGGAAGTCATTGAGCGCCACTTCGTAGCAGATTTCTTTGACTGCCTGGATCTTCAGGTCAGAGATGGTGACCCACTTAGAGTCCTTGGTGATGCGGCGCCGCTGAGGGATCTGGTACATTTTCACTGGCTCTCTTCTTTTCCCACTGCTGGGTAATCCACACTTTTTCACTATGGTTTGGAGCTTGCTGGGAGGTAGCTTTTCCCTCAGGGAAGTGATCAGTCTCCAGCTCTCTTCGCAAGACCTCTTATCTGAGTCATCCCCACTATCAGAGTCTCCATCCTTGAGAAAACAACACAGGACACAAACCAGATGGGTCCCCCCCAAAAAAAGGAGAAATTACAATGGGAAATCAGGGAGAGGATGAAAAGATGGCTTTTAAAAAAGAAAAAAAGAAAAGAATGAACATATAAATATGCAACAAGGGAACACCAACCACGAGTCAAAGTTATATCAGAAGATTACGTTCTGTCTTAAGCGCAGACAGCATTTCCAAATTCTGGATTTTTAACAAAAGGTGACAATTACACTAATATTAGAAACATTTTGCATACATCATTATTATACAAGATGTATGGCAACATGCAAGATTATTTTTAAAGTTATGCTGAAAATAAAGCTATAGAAACGGGAAAAATTAATTCACAGAAACAGTGGCTTCCATTGACTTTCTTGTCAGTTTTCTCTCTCTAACTTCTCCACCGAAACGGCGCTATGGATATAAATTCATGTTCAACACAACACTCGCTAAAACTTTTTATATGTCTGCAATGGAGGTGTCCTTTTTGGACCTTATTGTTCCCAGTGTTGCATATTGATATTAAAGGTAAAGCATGTCTATCATGATTAGAAAGAAAATATCAATAGATGATAGTTGCTGATTGGAGCACATATGTACTGTTTTGTGATATTCCTCTTCTTAGTGGAAAATTTTGTGAGCTGGATCCCAAACATGCTACAGCAGCATGCATGTAGATGAATTCTGGAGCTTTCCCCCTTTAGTCCAGAAGGTTTGAGTGGCTTTAGTATTAGTGGTAAGTTAGCAGACAGTGTTCTTGCAGTTGATCAGAAAGCCAGTAGAGAGAGGAGATGCAGAAGTGCGGATAAGTGTTAATCCACTACAAGAAAGTTGTTAGTTGGAGGAAAAAAAAAAAAAAAATGCAGTTTCTCATTTTTTGGAGACAGCATACATTACAGATCACAACCAGTAGAGATCATTTCGATTGTGTGTATGAGACTGTACGTATCTTTGGGAAGAATTGGACATGTTATGTCCCTGGGAGTCTGAACCCTCTGTGTGTAATTCTGCACATATAAAACCACCAGGATGTGAACGAGGCCCCGTGATTCACTGAGTTAACTGTGAGCAGTGGTAACTGTTGTTCAGTCGTGCCCTCACAGATGCCAAAGAAGTCAATGAGAAACCACATTGTCACTATCTGTCAAAAACTACAGCAGAAATTGTTGTTATCACAATGCATTGTACATATCAGCAACTGCATTGAAGAGATGAAACTCAGGACAAAACAGAGTAAGAAAACTAGAGTAGAAATCTAATCCAAGCAAATCAACAGCCACTTCAGAGTTGACCAGCTCCGGCAAACACTGCAACTTAGTCCACAACCAGTACTGAATGAGTTAAGAAAACATGCTATTAAAATGAACCATGCAAAAGCAGCGTCACTTTTTAACATGTTTTTCGATGCTGATAAATGCTGAATCGGTTTTAAAGGAAATTTGATCTTCATATCAAATCAATTTTAGCTGCAAGTTGCTGTTTTGCAAGATTCAGATCCACTAAAGAAGACACAAGAAAGGGGAAAACAGGGGTTTGGAAAGGGGAAAGCTTTACAGTCTAATTCTTGCTCAATCAAGCTGCTACAGAAAAAAATAAATAAATTGTTGAACACAAGAGGACAGCCAGTAAAAGCTTATCCGTCTCAAACCAGAAAAACTTCCATGCAAAAAGAACAGACATGCGCTAGGAGTAAAAGTGTGATTCACACATAAACATCTCAAAGTGTCAGAGCTCGGAGTGAGAATTAGTACTAGTGAGATTTAAAAGGACCAAATGAAACCACCATCCAAAGAAACAAGCTGTCAAATTGTAACTGATCGTAGTTTTGGAGATACTTTTACTTTGAAATCCACGAGAGATAGCCTGAAGTACATCAAAAATCACACAAAATATCCCAAACTAGCACGTTCACTCAATAGGCTGCTTCTATTAGCGATTTTATTAACTTTAACAAAAGGAAAAACTGACATTACAGCTCCTTTTACACCCACTCTGCACTTATTACTAACTGGTTTAAAACATCTTTGATAACAAAAAACAGAGTGAGTTCTTTAAATTCACAAAAGGGGCTTATTTGAACTCACCAGTCGCTGCTGCTCCAGAAGCTGATCGGCTTCTTCCTTCTCTTTTTTGTACAAGATTTCCATCTCAGTGAGTCTACACAGCAGAGTAAAATAAAAGTTTTGAAACACATCAAACAATCCACATTTAATGCCACACAACTACTCGCATATTTAAAATAAATGAACGTCATAGATTGCATACCTTTTCTCCATTTCCTGCTTCATGTCAATGCCCTGTTTCTCCAGGAGTTCTCTCTGAGCAAATGTCCAATCAACGGGCTCCACGGGGGTTTCTGCCGATGGCGTCTTCTCCCTTTCAGCTCTGGCCTGCTCTGGGTGGTTGAACCGGAACACGTGGTTCTTTCCCATAATGATGCGATTGCCTTAAAGAAGGCAGCACAAGCATGAAAAAAATTTCTTAAACGCTACAGGTCATAAATACATTTCATAATTTGGGCATTAAGAAATTAGTTACATCATATCTGCTTACAGACATCACACAAATGTTCACAGTTTGTATAGAAAACTTTCTACACACATACCTGAACGAAGCTGGATCGAGTCCTCAACACGCTTGCCGTTGACGTAGGTCTCCGATCCCTCGCAGGGCACCAGCATGACAATAACTTTAGCAAAAACAAACCAATCGCAAATCAATCATTCTGAATGACTCATCACCATTCAAAAAAAACAAACAAAAAACCAAAAAAACCCAAAAAGAAAACAAACCCACAAATACATCACCCATTAGATGTAGTCTATATATTTATATACTCATTTCATCCGTTCAAAAAAAAAAAAAAAAAAAAAGGTTTCGTTTGTATGTGTTTAGGTGTTTTTAAAATCACACTATAAACATCTTGCTCAACTTAATTTAGCACACATTCAATACAAACACCTCCAAACACCAGCAGCCAGTATTATGTCTCACCATCTCCGTTTGCATTCCTTTCGCTGCGGAAGTAGCAGTGTTCTTCCTTGATATGAGCACCGCTTAAAACAATGTCCTGTCTTCTCTCTGCGTCGGCCTGACCCACTCTGAAACAATCACAGAAGCCAGTTTGAGAGACTGCATACTGCTATACACATGCATTGTCAGCCATTTGTGCAAAAATGTACAGTTAGTGTTTCTGTAAGTTGAAATGTAACAACTGACTCAACAGAAAGAGTCTATAGAGGGTACCAACAGGACAAAGAGGCGACATAAACAAAAGCAAAATGTATTCATTAGCAGATTTTAAGCCTGATCATAAAAAGACCCAGTAGTTTTCCAGACAACCTTGCCTGGGAGAGTTGCCAGAACTTTCCAAATCCACTGCGGCAGGGTCATTATTCGGGTTTAGGTTACCTTGTAATTCCGTCTTTGATGTAGTAGAGCAGACACTCAGACATGAGAGGATCCTCATTCAGGTTAACCAGGTGTGGGGTCTACAGATAAACACATGAGGCATACAGTTTACCACAAAAACATTTCTAGAATTTTGCTGCTTTAATCAACATTCATAAGTGCAGAAACTGCCCCTGATGTTAGGATATTTTCATATCAAACAAATGCTTCTGTCTGCAAATGTAGACAGAAGCGGTCACATCAACACTGTCCTGACAACTCTGGAGTCTTATATTTCACAGAACTACTTCAAAAAGGATCCTGCAAGCTATTCCTCCAAAACACCAACCTTTTTAGGTGAGAATACCCCGTTAAAGTCTGCATAGAGATCGCAAGGCTAACCCATGGAGCAGTGAGTGAAAGGAGAGAAAAGAAATTATGGAAGGCAATCGGATGTGAACAAAGGACACACACACACACACACACACACACACACACACACACACACACACACACACAAGAACAAAGACTCACAGACTCATGAAGTGATGACATGTGTTGTTTCAGGCACTAATGACTCTACTGACAAACAAACATAAACATATCTACCAGTTTTTAAGTCACTGCACTATAGCACTGCCTCTACTTGATGGAGTGAAGGGAACATGCCACTGCTTGTAATTTCATAAGGATCTCATAGCACTGAGAGCATCTACAGGAAAAAAAAATAAGACTGCAAATGATCCAGCAGAGTAAAAGTACAAAACAATGAGCAGAAAAAGTGTAGATCTGGATCATGCACATAAAATGTCTATTAAAGACTAAACTGTCTAAAGTGGGGCTATTTCTAAAGCGGGAAATGTAGTTCTGCCAGCTTATTTGGTTAAACAAACCTTTTTGGTGGCAAAACAATCAAAAGGCTCGTCAAATGGCCCTTCATCGCTAAGCTGAGTATGTGAAGGAAGCAAATAAGAAGTGGAAAGAAAGACAGAATGATAAAGAAAAAAAAACCCAGGAAGGGTTCTCATGGAAAAAGACAGTGAGGTAAAGTGAAGTGATGGAGGAAGGATGTGCTTCACCACCAGTGGGAATGTTGACACTGTGCGCTCCCACCCAGTCTGTCATACCTTTTTAGGAGAGAATACACCCAAAGTGCCTCCATCTTCACGGATTGCCACGCCCATCTCTGCAAGCAAAGCCTCCCTGAAATACAGCCAAAAAACATTTGTACACTCAGTGAAAGCATTCGTTATTGGTCTTTTATTCTTGCTGCAACATACACTGTGTGCACTTCTTTTTCCACTAAAGCTCGTTTGTGCTGGTAACTCGAAGAGGATGAGAACCGATGGTGTGCAACGTTGGAGTAAGTGATTTGTAGCATGACAACCGGCTGAGAATGGCACCAGTTAGACTCTATGGACAGACGGTAGCATGGTTGATGTCTGAGAGGGGTGTTTGTGCAGCCGAGTGTGACAACAAAGGAGGACAGTGAAATGGACAGAACTAGTGCAGAGATGGAAAAAAAGGTGGCAGAGAAAAGTAAAACAGACAGCACAGAGGGATGAAGAGATAGAGAGTAAAGTACTAGGGGAAAACTAAAGGTTTGGTTACAGTTCTTAAGATGTGATATTTGACAGTGTTGAAAATTAATTGTGCTCATAGAGAGAGGGGGATAGATAAATCATGACCAACAAAGAGGGAGAAGACAAGAATATCCTATACAAAAAAAGGGGGGTAACAGTCACATTTAGCCACACATGCTGAGTAACAAACAAACCAAGCTTCAGAGAGCTAGAATGAGAAGGAACGTGGCCAATTACAGCATCAGGTGGGAGTGAACGTCAAATTGCAGATAATGGATGACAGACATCCCTCTATGTGACGTCTGAGAGGTGTGTCGGGGGAAGTTTCCAATGCTATCAGAGCATTTGACACACAGTTGAGACAGACCGCACACCCCTTTAAGACTGACAGGATGCAATGAGGAAGACTTTAATGCACACGTTGGACAGACACCTTCCCCCTCGGGAAATAAAGATGGAAATGAACAAACACTGTCTGCCTGTACTGACCTCTCCATGCGGATTGCCTCAGTCTTTCGCAGTTTCTCCTCCCAGGTTTCATTGAGCTCAGCAATGATCTTTTCTGATTCCTGAACAAAGGGGAAATTATGAGAAAAACCAAACCGGTGTAATATAAAAGTAACTACTAGCAGTGTATTGGAGGCAGGAACAAGCGCACCAACCTGGATTTGGGAGATTACCTTTGCCTCATCACTGTCAAATGTTTATGTGGAATGTTTATACTTTCCCTTCACAAAATAAACTTGTATATTCAACATGATTATGACTTATTTTCTTGCGTTTAGATTCCCAAAAATAGCTTCAGCACTGATAGAGAACGCCGTTCCTCACTATTAAAGCCTAAAGCTGATAAGACTGAATCTATTTTGGTCTGATTTCCACCGTATTTGCGTTGGTGCTTGACGTCATTGGATGACAGACGGGACCGGGCACCACGGTTGCCATGGAAACTGCAGCTCCTCATGGCTGTGGATGTTGCAATCTTATGTGCTACCCTATCTACAGAGTGTGAGAGACTGCTGTGAGTGGGAGGCATATAAGGCTCAGGTTTTAATAAAGGCTGTATGTGGCGTAAAATTAAACAGCCATCTTAACGTTAAACAAATATATTGAATAAGTTACAGTTTCTCCCTTTTTATCTTATTTCACGTTACTGTGAATTTCTTGACTTCTAATAAATTTTGTATATTTAATCATAAAAAATAAAGCTGCATCTCTATATTTATATACACTGTGGATAAAATACACTTTTTAACAATTAAAAGCAAGCCTGTTGTCCCGTGTGGCATTGAAAAAGTCCGCAATTACTTTATTATTTTTGCCATATTAACCATGAAACCAGCAGTTAAGACCAATAGGTTTTTTTTGTTTTTTTTTTCAAGCCTCTATTGGTTAGAGCAGAGGTGTCAAACATAAGGTCCAGGGGGCAGAATTGGCCCAGCAAAGGCTCCAAAACAACCCTACTAATAAAGGCGTCCCTCAACGATATTCAAACAGAAAATTTTCTGTGATTTAAGAAAAACTTTCTGTTTTATAATTACAGGATAGTCTGGGCAGTAACTGAACTTTTGATTTTTTTATTTTACGCATTTATTTCTTACAATTTAAGTCCAGAGTTTTGCTGACAGACTTCTTTTCCTACAGTTACATTACTCCTTTATGTAGGAAAACTTAGATATTGTTGAAATTATATTTATTTTTCTTATAATTGCATATCTCAGCACATAAATACATAGTTGTAAATGTTTTATTCCACTAACAGAAAGAGGAGTTCCACTTAAGATCAAAGATCTGTATGTGGGCCAGGGTATAAAATGAGATATCTGGGATACACCTTTAAGTGGCCGGAGTAGGAAGATGGCTGCGGGACTTTTAACTTTCCTAACAACAAACAGTGAGTGTGATTTTAAAAGTGCTGCATACACCATTGTCTGCTTTACCTTGAGTCTTTCAATGGCCTCCTCCCCTCCAGGCGTGGACATGATTCGCTCTTGGATGCTGGTGACTGACTGAAGGCCCCCCTGGCTGCACAGCGAGCCAGAAGACGGCGAGGCTGTCAGGGAACCAATAGGGGCTGTGGAGAAATGGCCAGGGCGTTGGTTCTCTGAGGCTATCAAGTATCTATTCTTATTGTTCTGAATGTCTTTGAGGTCTGAGCCAACAACAAGAAAGAGAGAGGGAGAAGGAAGATAACACAGAAAGAGGAGGGATAGGCCAAGAAAGGTTGGAAGGAATAAAACACATAAAAATGGAATAACGAAATACCAAATAGAAAGAAGGAAAGAAAGTAACAGGGGGGGGGCAGATGGGGAAAGAGGAAGGACAAAGGGGAGGAAAGACCAATGTAAGACACACATTTTACGTTGTAGGGTTTAGACAAACACCCAGCATGATAGTCAGCTACAGACAGCAGCAGTTTTCACTCCAGGCAGTTACGCTCCAACTCATCATCTTCCAGAGAAAACACATCAGATTTCAGCCTTTAATAACCAGTTTGAAGGGCGGCTTTTATGGTGGTCACAATTACAGTGGAGAGCAATTAACTCTGAGCTCTTAATTTGTAGTATGTTTGGAAGGAATAGGGAGGTGTCACTTTGTTGCTTCTGTGTATGTGTGAACGAGGGTGAACACACTGTGTGAAAACTGCTATCACGAGTATCGGCTACAGGATGGGAGGGAGATGGAGACTGCAAGAAGGTCCAGCAGGAGGACAGAGGAGAGACGTGGACACATGCTGGCAAAGAAAGTTCAGCCTGGAGTTGATTAGATTCACAGCACACGCGCCATACGCACACAGCATCCGCCATAACAAAAGCCACAGCAGCCTCACTCAAAGGTCAGGTAGCTCATGTCAATATAATGACCTCAAGGGCCTCTGAGGCAACACACAAGTGAGCTCTTTAAGGACCAAACTAAATCAAAGTGATATTAGAAAAGGGTAAATATTCTGGGGGATGATGACTTTCTTGAGATATGGGCTTTTTTTCTCCAAAAACATAGACCCAACTATAGCAGCTAGTTAACTATTTGCCCTGCGCATCAGATGGTGCAGAAACATTTTTATGGTTAAGATGTTAGGGATGCTTGAGAATACAACAGAAAGCACACTAGCAAACTAGTCACTCTACTAACTACTAAAGTGCACAAAGTTAGTCAAATCTTTACACAAACACCTCTGGTGCCTCTATATAGAAATACAAAAAATTAAGCACCTTTCCGTCTGTAGCTCTGAGCCTCAGTTTGAGAACTCAGAAGGGGCATTTTAAAGCTTTGGGCACCGTCACCTGCTGGGGATGATTAGTGAAAGAAAACAAAATAAAAAGCATAACGAATAACCGGGATTAAAATAAGCTTAAAGAGTGCGAGTCATAGGTAGTGAGACATTATTATGAAACGATGCATTTGCATTTTGAGGCCAGGGAAAACTAAAGGGCTACTCTAAAATGGATCTGAGCCTGTAAGTAGCTGCCTCCCCCCCTGTCATTCTGAAAAACGTAACAAAAAAATAACAATAAAGCGGAAAGCATGCTAACCTACTGCCATGCTTACTCTTGCCAGTTATAAGAACACCTATGGAAACCTTGCATTTCTGGGACTCTATTAAGCTTTTGCTTTTTTTAAAAAAAAACAAAGGCACTTACATGCAAAGCTGGTAGCAGATTCAATATACAGGTAATGGGGTTCATAAGCAATGTTAGCTACTATAATTAGGGCAAATAGTGATATACAGTGCAAGTCTACCACACATATACACACATTTGATTCCACTTCCTGGACAATCATCCCCCATAGGATCAACTGAGGGGAAGCAGGAAAAGATGAGAAGGGTCAGAGGTCAGCACCAGTAGAATAGGAGGAACAGATATTTTTTATGTTTGTTTTTTTGGGGGGGGGGCTGGATAAACAATAACAAAGCTGAGAAGAAACGTCACGATATGTCTTGCTAAGTGCTATGCTATTAGACGTGATCTATGCAGGCATTAGCAAGTAGTCAGGTTATTCATCACTTCAGCTATTAGAAGTCATTAATGGGTATATTATGTATCTAATTGACAAGGCTATGAGCCATTACTTCTGCATATAGCAAATGATATTTTAGTGCAGTTTTGAGTGACTACATGTGTTGTCAAACACAATCAGTCAAACACATACAACCTTAAATATACTATATATTTGACCTTCTATACATGACTGCACTGAGGCATAATAAACCTTTATTGAGGTAAACTTGTTAAAAGCTGCTTCATTCTTTGTTTTTAGTGATGTACCAGCCACAAGTACAAGCACTGAGATGAAAACGTTAGATGGCTGAGAGTAACGAGACAGTAATGAAGATAGAAGACGTTGCCAGTTTGTGGTGGGCCCTGACAGAGAAGGTCGCTGGCTGCAGATACGACCAGCTGAGACAGCATAAAACTCACTGTCCAGAATGTCTCCCAGGCCCTGGGCACGGAGCAGTTCCTTCAGCCGGGCCACTTCATCCTTCAGTTCGCGCACCAGCTTATTGTTGGGATCCTCATTGATGACAGCATTGCATTTGATGTTCTTGGCGCGGTCAGCATAGCTAAAAAAACATAATAAAACAAATAATTTTAAGTGTAATTCAAACAATCACAATCTTCCTCCAGGACAGAAAGCTTACCGCAGAGTGCTGAGGGTTTCATCGTAGTTTATGTCTGCAGGACTGAGGGCAGCTACCATGGCTGTTCTGGAGTTCCCACCTGATAAAAGATCAGTAGAGATGTCAGATAAGCATTGAGGACCAAACATGACCAAAGGCACATAGAATTTCTATGAAAATACAACACTTTTTAAAAGCTCGTCAAATGAAATACATTTTTTGTGTAATCAAGAGCTTCATTAGACTAAATCTAAGATACACTGCGCACTTTTTGTGACACGTCTGGACCAAAGAGGTGAGCCGACTATGCTCTTCTTAAAACTTCCTGAGTGCAATGTAGACTATTTCAAGTCTTTTCTTTTTTTCAATCCTGACTGCATATTCCATTATGCAAATGGCTCAATTTCTCTGGCTTTTCATATGTAATTTACTGGCAAACCACTATTGTCACATAGTAACGTCAATTAATCAAGTGATACTAATATTCATACCGAGGTTCTCCCTCAGCAGCCATGTCAGAACAGAGTCCCTGTATGGGATGAAATCACTCTTCTTCTTCTTCTTGCTCTGCGGTAAGCAAAAAATAAATACATCAATATATGAGTAAAAATGAGCTGATGTAATGATGTACAAATTATGGAAGCGACTGGAGGCTGTGCAATATTATGTTGTAATAGAAAAAAAAAAAGATCCTTATGTGTAAGGGTCAATATGTCAGGTAAAATGAGGAGAGAGTTAATTTGACATGCATTTGCTCTTGTGCAGGGATTGAGGGTTTAAGGTTTAAAGTGATAAAACTGATAACAGCTAAATATCTGCAACTTCATTGCTGCACATGACCAAAGGCTGTCAAATCTGTCTCATGGGATGAATGACAGGTTAGTGGTTTAGCTGTCAAAGGGTTTACCTTGCTGGTACAATTATCCTGTGCAAGTAAGCATTACAAGGACAAGAGAAGAGAGAACAGAAGGGCAGACATTACAGCATGCCAGGCTACAAACATGAATTCCTTTTGAAGGTAGGGTCAAGTTGTAGAGGATAAGAGAACGACTGCAAAGAAGGAGGAGGAGAGAAATAAAGGAAATAAAATCAAGTGTAAGACTCACCACTTCAGCCAAGGCAGAGATAACCTTTCCTAACGTGGTGAGAGACTTGTTGATGTTTGCTCCCTCCTGCAAGCACAGACAAAAAACAAAAACAGAATAAAATTACACAGATTTCCAGGTTGTACAAGCCATTTTTTAAATGTGATTCCAAGGTGTTTGGGAAGATCGGAGTCTTACCTTTAGCCTGGTACCTTTAGCTCCAGTTGAATCTGCTCGCTCACTGCCTGCCAAGTCTACCAGACTAATTTTACTGACCTAAAGGGAGGGAGTAAATGCATTAGATGCATCAGGCCTATAATAATGTGCATTTAATAGGGTGGGTAGAGAAAATAAATAAATAAAATACAGCTCTTAGCTTCACCAATGCCAAATCTAAATTTCTGCATAATATTGACCACATCAGAAAAAAAGATAGAGGAGCACAGTGCAGCACTTGGATGATGTACAGACTCCTCATACCAAAGCTACTGCATGACACAGGTTAGCATCTTATGAACAGCCTGGACACAGTAATGAGCTGAGCATCAGCGACAAAGCACGCACTATAAAACTTGACCAGCTCTGGTGAGTTGAAGAAATAGCTCTGTCAGTGTAATCTATTACAAAAGATGTGTTCCATTACTGCAACAGAAACAGCACTGCTGGAGGTATGACGTACAAAATGAAAGCTCCACTTTCACTTTATTTATAGTTTTTATGTCAAGGAAAACGTATGCCTGGTGCTCCCGAGCCAAGCAGCAGATTCACACAAATCACATTAGAAAATAATTTATAAAGGAAATCAATTCTAAATGCAAAACTTTTTTGCATTTAGCATTTTTGCATTTAGAAAACAGAGACAAATTCCAGTTTAATGGTTTAAATCCCACCATAAAAATCTGCAGAATGAATTGTTGAACACATTCAAAGCATTTGGGGGCATTCCTGTCAAGTGAGATGGAGCAAGGGTGTAAAATCTAACAGAGTGGCCACATACAATAGGCACTGTTTTCAGTAACACAGCGGTCTTTGTTCCTCCACAGTCTGAGGAAATGCTAAAAGTCAAATCTAAAATGGCTCTCTCTCTTTTTTTTTCCCTGCCTCCTGTGACCACTAACTTCAGGAGACTAAAGGACCAAAGAAAGCTTTTAACCCATTTTTCAGTCTAAATAAAACAGCATAAAGAAATTCATCTCTAACAAACACGAGGAAGGAACTTTAAGTGTATTTGAGTGTGAACGTTTTACAGACTAATTATAAACAAAGAGGGCGACTGTTTTCCTGCTCTGACCTTTTCTGTGGAGAGGTCCGTCTCGCTGTCGTGTTTCCTCTGAGTGAAGACAATGGTGAAAACAGCATGGGACCTGCTGCTTGTCTCGTTCATGTTGGTGGCAGCCACAGTTCTGGAGTTTAGCACATATGGGCACAGTTAGGAAATAAACAGTATGATTTCTGAGCACCTTAATAACCACACAATATTCTTTTAAAGGAAAATTAATTCCTAATTCTTAGTCTTGGCTATTACTAGCGCTATCATCAGTGGGTTTTACACCTATTAGAGTGAAGTAAGTCTAAAGGATTACTTTGTGCGGCGGAGGTGGATAATAACGCGAGGACGCCAAACACAAATACATGAGGAGTGCTTAGAGGGATAGTCACAGGGGAGATATGGGCTTTACGTGGCATGTTCTAGAAATAAGCCTTCTAAGTCAGCACAGTGAGATTATGGCAGGGTTCACTCCTCCTCACATGAGCCCTCGTGCACGCGCACATTTCATTGAAAAATACTCATTACCTGCCAGGTCAAGCTAGACATGCGGTTATATTTAAAAATATAAAAATAAAAAATTAAGACGGTAACACAGTGAAGGCTGAGCTGTCTTGCCGTTTAACAATTCAACCCTTGCAAATGAGTCATACAAGAACATTTCCTCAATCAAAGCTAATTTTTTATCTTTTATCAACCTGACTGACCGTTGATCATCAGATCACCACAGCTGTCGCCACAACTTTAGCCCCTCCCGCTCCTTCCTGTGATCTCAGCATGATCTCAGGGCTTAGCTCACCTGGCCTTGTTGCCTGCATCCATCAGGTCAGCGATGTCTGTGTAGGAGGTGACAGCTAGCTTGGACAGATCCTCTACATAGGGACCCAACAGCGGGTGTTCTCGGACTCGTAGGTTCCCTTTGTTCTTGGGGTTGAGCAAATCTCGGACGCGCTCGCAGTAGATCTCCATGTAACTGACCTGGAAACAATTTCAGAAGTACAGAGAGTAATTTCAGGTGCTCCAGGTTGAATATATTAAGCTAATATTGTGCAGCTCTGTACAAAGAATATATATTAATGTCACTATTGATATATATAAGAGGAGGTATTTGCATGCGTATATTAAGGTCAGAGAACATAAGATATACTTTATTTATCCCAGATTTGGGAAATTATCCGGATCACAATCGCACCTCAACTTCACAGTGACACTTTTGTTTTCCCAATTTTACTGGCAGAGATTTGCAAAGAAAACCATGCAGTATGTGACTGAAGTCTGGGAAATGCTCAGGAAAGAGCAGCGAACACAAAAAGTTGGGGGCAGAGGTGAACCATGAGGACTACAAATACCAAAGAAGAATGATACGCACCTCTACTGAGTAGGAGAGCTCCTCTTTGTTGCCGTCCTCATTGATCTTCTCAAACAGATCTTCACACAGCTGAGTGGCAAAGAAAAAAAGCATTTTAGTTCAAATGACGGCATCCGCAGATATAAAAGAGGCGATAAATAGGTGTGAGATCTGTGGGCTTCTTGTAAAGCAAACATTTAAATAGTTATAGCCTGAAAACTTAAAATTGTAAACTTTGGCCAAATGTCATTCACTTTCCACACCGCTCTAAATTGCTTTCAGTGTGGTTGCAGCTTAAAGGACTTAAAGTTGTTTCAGTTCTTCTATTTTAGACTGTTTTAATGTTCTGAAAGGTGAATTTAGAAACTTTCTATCCATTAGATCTGACAATCTGATCAAAGGAGGGGAAAGAGCCAGATCAAAGCTTTGGGAGAGGACACCTTTGTCACTACATACATTATTTAAGTGTATAACAAAAATCTGTTATGCACATATTTTTCAGGCTTTTCATCATAAACAAGGCACTACGTGTAATACTTCCAGAGCTCTGATGGTCTAAGATGTGTACAGAATTATGACAACAATAATTAGCAGATTAAATGGACTCAGCAGTTTGCGAGTTGTACTATACATTCAAGGCTCTAAATGAGCAGGAATAGTAAACAGACTACAAGACAAGGGATTGCATTATTTGTCTTAGTCTCTGCAGTGCAGTGAATGGTGAATGAGGTTTTGTTGAACAAACCATGGGAATGATTCCTTCCTGCCCCTCCTCCTGCTTGCCCATCATGGTGTAGGATTTGCCAGCTCCTGTCTGGCCATAAGCGAAGATGCAGACGTTATAACCCTCAAAAGCATGCTGCAGCATTTCCTTTCCAATGTCATTGTACACAAGGTTCTGTGAGGCAAAGCAGGGGTCATCGGGCTGCAATAAAAAGAGAAAAATATATTTAAATATAAGTAGCATCACAATAAGATTTGCATATTTTCTTTGCTTTTAGTGATTAGAGTTAAAACTCACAGAGGTATGAGACCAATAGGAGTAATCAAAACTGAAGGTCTTTGCTGGTTCCTTTGGGGCTTTGGGGTTGAGGATAGCTGTGGAGGAGGAACAAAATTAGTAATGGGGTTGATATTTTCTAGATTGAGTTGAAGTGACACAAAAACTACTCGCATGTTCTGTTATTTTAAAAAGCTGCCTTTAGTTAGTTTGTGATGTCTTCTACAGAATTCTTTAGTTGTGTTTCTTCAACCAAAAGCAGCTTCTGTGCTCAATAATATATATAACCATGCATTCCTCATGTTTTCCCTTCATGTCTTTCCTACATTTCTTTTTAAAGTAAACAAACAAACAAAGACTGTAAATTTAAATTGGAGTTACTAAATAGACCCAAATGATAAGAGAGAGATAGATATATATAGATATCTATATATAGATATATATAGATATATATAGATATCTATATATAGATATAGATAGATATATATATATATATATGAATGATCCTGGTTGGCAAATAGCAGCTGCTACCTCAGGTTCCTGTTCCTCAATTAGAGAGATATTTTTGGCAATGCAAGTCACATGAAACAGTGGCAGACTACGAGATGCTGGCTTCTTCTTTTTTTTTGAGAACTGCAACTGTTGCAGCAAGCTCTGCCACATATGGTTTATCCTTAACCAGTGTTTTAATCATCATCATTAAGATTGACATCATTACAAAATGACAGAGTTTGAATGAAAAACACCAGCCTACTTCAATCACACCACTTCACCTGCTCTCGCTCAACACTACTCAGCCATTCCCCGTCGCCACATGGACAGTTTTTAATGAACAGAAATCTGCTGCCATGCCTGGCATGTCACACTCCTCAACCATGCTGGTTGGTACTGCCGGTGACAAGTGCACTAGATTTCACACTGGATATGTGACAGGCAGAAAGCGGGATGTTAATTTACTATAAGATAACCACAGAAATCACTCCTCTTAGACAAACTAAACTTTAAGGATTAGAGTTGTTTTGTGCCATGGCTGCAGCAAGACACTTTGCTCAGGCCAGGCAGACAAATGCATACCACCACCTTTAGAAGTGAGGAGGAAGTGGGAGAGGAAGGAGTGAGAAAGAGGCTAGCGAAAGAAGGGTTTGGAGAGACTAAAATAATGTGAGTGCTCAAGGCCCTAGCAACAGTCCAAACAGATCAACAACAGAAACCGAAGGCAGGACAAAAGGGAAAAAACTATCTGCGCCTTAGTAGGAATGCTACAGTCTGTGAGCGTAAGTATTTAGAGCATTTTCAATCTTTCCAGGGAAGTCTGCAGAAGCAGTCACAAAGGAATAATTAGCGTTGTGTGATGCCCTGTGCTAATGGGCAAATTAAAGCCAGGTTTGGCTCCTCAACATGACGGTGCTTGAGAGGCTTTTGCATCAAGATGTCGCCAGCAGAGTGCCTTGTGTGCTCAGAGGATTTCAGCGCGCTTATCAATAATGCAGGAGATCTGGAGAGACGGGGACAGCATATCGTCCTCCATGGGTCACAGGCTGACAGAAAAGCACAGCATGTCCTCAGAAACCAGAACACTAACTGGTTCATGCTAAATCTATGATGATTAAAGCAGCAGCTATTTCACTGAAGCTCATATAGATTCATGCAAAAATAATCCATTTGACTGTGCGCTCTACAATCTTTGAACAGGTTAAGGTGCGCAGGCAGAGTAGCAGCTTCCATATGGGGCACTGGAAGAGGATACAGCGAGACAGGCTGCTAAATAAATCCCAATTTCAACTTTGACCTGCCTCCAAAGGGAAATTGGAGACTGGGGATAAAGAAATGAAGGGGGATTTAGGTTACCAGTGCCCTTATTCACCTTTCCTGGAACAATCTACAGTGGCTATTAATGAGAAAGCAGCCTAAGCTCTGATTCAGTGTCAATGAGACAACTAAGCATTAAAAACAGAAACATGATGAGAGAGTTCCACATGTGGGGGCATTTAGACAGCGATATTCCTATTATAGGACAGAAGTCTGATGGTGACAAACTCTACCATACAGGGAATCAGCATTAAACAAGCTTTTTAATCTTGGACTCTCTCAATCTTCCCAAGTTCAATCTTGGACAAGTCACTACATGGTAGCAATTACTAGGAGATTGATCAGCTCCTTAATGTGAATCATGCTCATGTAGTATAATTATCTCATTCAATAGCTCACAACATTGCTCCCAGAAAGGAGAGCTGGTTCACCCATGTGGTGTCATCAGTGTGTCATAAGAGTGGGTCTCTTCTGTAAGAGCCTGTAAAGGTGTTCTGAGGTCAAGATATCCACACCTTCAAAAAATGGGGCTCTAACTAGTGCTGCATCTGCACATAAAGGATACCAATGGCAACGGTTACATATTCACAGTCTGGCTTTTATTTACACATTGTGTTGAAAGAAGTAAAAAGAAAGAAAAAAAACCCACACCACTCTAATATTTGTTCATGATATTGGTTCGATACCGACTGAAATAGCTGGGTTGGGTGTCTGTGGTACTGTGACAACAGGGAGCCATCTATTTTATTCAAATATAAGTTATTCTATGTTTGGTTTGCTGTGTGTGACCAGGGGTGCACTAGTTCCTAGAACGAGAGCTTACACAGCATGGAGGAAGCTAACAGCAAACTATTTGGAGTTCTCAAGATATTTCATGCTTGCTACGCCAACAAGTTTGATTTGTTGCAGTTTGTGAATTTATGTTAGCAAATGGTGTTTGCTAATGGTGCTTTTGCTAGCTAGCCAGGTAGCACTGGAGTCTATTAACAGCTGGGAGGCTCTGTGCTACATTCAAGAACAGCTAAGACAGATGAAGGAACAAGAACAAGTCCAATGGGCACCGAAATAAGCTGTGCCCATTGTTTAGAAGATTTCCTGTTTAAAAAAATAAAAATAAAATAGCAGTTTTGTTTGTGCGTCTTGTTTGCGTGCTCACATTTCAGGCTGTTCCCCTGCACACAGTGTGGTGGCATGCTGCAAAACCGAGAACTAAAAAAAAAAAAAAATCTGTTTTGTTTAAATTGGTTGAGTGTGGTTGAATGAATAAAGCAGAGTCCGATTGTGAGGGTACAGGGAACCAAGAGAGACAAAGATCAGTGCTACTCAAGGATAACCGGTGTTTTGTCCGATGCCACAGAGATTTAAGGATCAAATTAATAAATCCAAATTGAGATTTATTGGTTGTATTTTTAAGTTAGACTTCTCTGCTTTGGACACATTAACACTAACAATAGCACATATCCCAATTTTGTTTAAAAATAAGTGGAAATTAAAAAGTGGCATTATGTCTAACTGAAAAGCATAACAGGAAACCTTTTAAGGACTGAATGACTTTATTTCCTGTGACAATTATTTTTGATTTTTGTTAACCGAGTGGAAGAGTGGACTGCAAATTATTCTGGTTATGTGGTTTTATTTCATTTGTCATTATTATAATGACTAGCACAAACGCAGGCCTGTGGGTCTCGTTTGCTTCGCTCAGGCATAAAAACACAGACATGTGTGTAATTTTATCGTGCCATTCTTTTTATGTTCATTATCACGGTGTATATTAAGAAACTTGCTGTTCATAAACACCAAACAAATGATTTTTTAAAAAAATATATTGTTCTACTTCTTTGCAGACTACTTATTAACAGTTTAAGACAAGCTAATCAGCTACAGGCACTATTAGTTACAGTTTGTTGAAAATGTATGCATATCTGTAAACAAGAACACAGTCCAGTGATCCCAAAGTGCCACTGTACTAAAAATTGTTTAGCAACATTTATTTAGAAATAACAATGAACACATATACATAATGTAGACATAATGGCACATTTGTTTTGAGATCAGCTACTATACATAATATATATGAAATTTATAATAATCTGAGTCTTAAAAATAAAATAATCCCCAAAAACTATATAGATGCCTGAATATTCTACATATTCTTTTCATACCACACTTCTGTGTTAATTGTTTTTCCAAAACGAAAGGCAACAATTCTTAAATTGTTCATGTGTGGATTTATCATTCTCTCCTTTCTTCTCACAATCAGGAGTACAACCTATACATTTAACATAAATATTTGATTGATAGCTGCAATCAATCAGGATGTGACTGTGGAAAATACGCAAAGTCGTGGTACTTGTATCTACCAGGAGTAGAAAGGTTGGGCTGGTGTGTCACATGCATGTGTCAAATTGTTGCATTTGACGGGCAGAATGTGGAGAGTTTTATCCTCACCATCCTATATGCAGTCAATCACAAAACAGTGCCCTTACACTCTAGCATGACATGCCTACACCTGCACATCTCATAAAGCACATGAACAGGGATTCACACTTAGTAAAAGTCACAAGTCCTGACTGAAATAAATAATACTTATAGTACCCCCCACTTAATATTCAGCCACAGTCACATCCTGAACTTGAAATGGCAAACGCATCCTGCTGCCTCATAAGCAACGTCATCATTCCGTCTTTCTCATCCATGGCAACAGGTATAGGACCAGATTCTGGTTGCCATAACAACTCAAACTGGGCACAGACGTGGAGGATGCAGCACATCTCGTCCTCTTTTCTCTCGTCTCGAGCGTTCGCCGTTATTGCCCTCGCAAACTATTTAGACATTCTTAAAATTCAAGTTTATGGATAATTACAGTCATTTATCAAACACTGATTTCCAGGTTTAAATCCTTTGCACATCTTAACAACCAACATGAGGGCGGCACTGCAGACTTTAGGCCACTTATAATGTCAGGCTCAATAAGGCACTGTTTACCATCCCGCCGTCGGTAAGCACTAAACATCCATTACATTAACAGATGACATGCAAATCTACACATATGAGGTACTCAAAAGGAGTCAAAATTCTCTTAAGACTGAGAAACGTAGACAAACAAAAGCTATTGTGTGGCACATTCATCTGTTTGCTCTTCCGAAATGCTACGGTTTTACATTTTCAGCTCCTAGGAATTTAGGATTGATAGGATGCAAGCCCTCCACAAGCCCTCAGGGTGAACAGCAGTTAACTAACCACATCCTGACATCAACCTCAGCTGGTTGTTGCCAGCAGACATTTTGTG